TGTTTTAAATGATTTTTTAATATTTTTTAATTATTTTAATGTATTAATATAAAAAATAATTTTTTTTAAAAAAAAACATATCATTTAACCATCTTGGACAACTTTCTGTTCCCTGGTGGATGATTGATTGGTCAATTATGAGTAATAGGTCGAGTAATGCATAACACTGAGTAGGGTAACGAATCAGTACGTAGCATTAATAGCCCGTGACAACAAGAAAGAATGAACAGAGACAACTCATAGATTATATATTAGAAATTTAGTTTTGGTAAACACTCTAAGGATACGTTTATTTTAAAAAAAAATATTAAATTAATATTTTTTATTTATTTCTGTGCTTGATATAAAATTTTTTAAAGATTTAAAATAATTACTTTAATATATTTTTAAAAAGCATTGTATCCTCCACCACAGCACTAAAAGCAAAATTACTTAGTTTTAAGTGGAGTTTCCATGAGTTTTGGAAGTGCATGCTGTAATGGGACCAGACTCTGTTTAATAACTGACCCTCCAATTGGGTCTCCACCTTAGATACTGTCCTACAAACCGAGGGCAGCTTAAACAGAAACTAAGGGTTGTTGAGATCTACATTTACTGCTACGGAGGCTCAATGCACCGAAACATCTTAAAGCACCGTAAGTACAAGGGCTTTGTCTTTATTGTCTTCGAATTGAAAAGTAAGCGTGCAATTACAGCAGCTATGAAACCCCGTCTGCAGATTCAGGGGTCGGTTAAAAAAAGAATTTAATTATTTTTATTAAAACCATAATATTTTTTTAATTTTCTGGTGTTGACTCTGTTAGATTTACATTGACTTTGATAAAATCAGTCGAGAGATTCGATGTCTGTTTGGTATTTTATTAGTTTTTACTGTCACGATTTAAAAATACAGATTTCGAAAAAACTGTACATTATAACTTCGCTCAGGTCCGAGTTTTAAAAATTATTTGAGGTAAAAAATACAGGAAAAAACAACTAATTTATTGAAATTATGAACAACATAGGAACATCTCGGACCCCAGTGCCATTACTCGACAAGTTAGCAAGTACTCGAATAGTCCAAGCCTCGGTCGTGGGTACCCCCTCACCACGTAGCCAAGTACCACCCTCTTATATGGAAACCCGAGGCCTGCTAAAAACCTTTGTTTAAAACTTAAAACCAGTTTAATACTAATAAATTAGATATTTACTTCTCTGACATTCACTTGTTTTTTTTTTTTTTACATGCAACCTTTTTCAGACCGTACGTGTCCGTCCGAACTCTAAACAAACCACTGGTTCTCTCGCGAAAAAACAAATTCGGACTAAATAAACCTTTCAATGGTATTTATTTTTTAATATATATTTTTATTTAAAAATATATTAAAATAATTTATTTTTAAAAATCATTTATAATATCAATATATTAATGTAAGGATTACGGACACCAACTATCTCCACATTGGTATGATATTGTCCACTTTGAATCTAAGCTCTCATGGATTTGCTCTTGGGTTATACCCAAAAGGCCTCATACCAATGGAGATAATTGTCCATCCTTATATACCCTTGATCCTCCTCATTTCTAATCAATGTGGGACTTTGGTCGCATACCCAACAATTCTTCCCTCGAACAAAGGACCACCGAGTCTCTCCTCAAACGATCATTTATCCATCCACTCTCTGCCAACCAGGATTTTTCATTCTCTACTTCTCTCTACTTCATCCTGTTGGAGTCAGGACACGTCCATGAAGCATCCAGAGAGCACTACCTGACTTGAGAGTTTTTTTTGCTCTTTCTAGGTCAACTCCTCTTCACCGTGTTGAGATCAGGACACGTCCATGAAGCATCTGGAGCACACCGCCTATCCAATAGAGCTGATCCTCCATGGATCACATCGTGATTTAATTAGGGCCCACCACCTTTTGTTCGGCATCCCGATGATTCATCCATCATGGCTAACTCTGGGGCATGGCTCTGATACCACGTGTAAGGATTACGGACACCACCTATCTCCACATTGGTATGATATTGTCCACTTTGAGTCTAAGCCCTCATGGATTTGCTCTTGGGTTATACCCAAAAGGCCTCATACCAATGGAGATAATTGTCCATCCTTATATACCCTTGATCCTCTCCATTTCTAACCAATGTGGGACTTTGGTCGCATACCCAACAATTAAAATGATCAAAAAAATATAAAAAAATTAATTTTAAAAAATAAACATTGTAACTGTATATACAGATGATATGCAAACTGATTTGTTTACCAAAATTTAGAAAATATTTATTTACGAGAACGAATATATTTTTTTAAATATTATAAAAAGTATTAAATTATTATTTTTTAAATTATTTTATATAATTATGATATATTAATATAAAAGAACAGAGAAGAGAAGAGATGAAGAAAGAGGGACTGTGAGGGGAGAGAGAGAGAGAGAGAGAGAGAAGCCAAAAACTGAGCACAGAGGTAGAAGACAGGAGGGGGGGGGGGGGGGGGGGCCCCA